GCCACATAGATTTACACAATCTGTTAGCTCCTGAGCAACACGGATTTCGTAACAAGCGTTCATGCTTGACTAACTTGCTTATTGCGAGGGAGGATTGGACAGCAGCCCTAGATCACGGTCTGTCTGTCGACGTGATATTCATAGATTTTAGCAAAGCGTTTGACAAGGTTTCACACGTAGGTCTTATGCAGAAGCTCACGAGCTTCGGAATAATAGGTACTGTACATGAGTGGATAGGAAATTTCTTATGTGACCGCAGACAGAGAGTTAGGGTCAATGGAACGCTATCCGATTGGAAGCCGGTCAAAAGTGGTGTACCCCAAGGCACCATCTTAGGCCCTCTGCTCTTCCTTCTCTACGTTAATGAGTTACCGCTGTTACTTAGGTCGTCGACATTATTGTTTGCGGATGATGTAAAAATCTGGAGAACAATAAAAAGTGCGGCTGATCATCTGGATCTTCAAGCTGACTTAGACGATTTAGTTAGATGGGCTCGAGAGTGGGGCTTAGAAATCAATGCTAGGAAGAGTGTACTAATGCACATCGGTCACGGTAATAGTTACCGTTACACTATTGAGGGTAAACCTCTTCCATGCGTTCAAGAGCATAAGGACTTAGGAGTAATAATAAGTCATGACTTAAAAACAACTACGCATTGCAAAGCAGCCGCTGTCAAAGGTTTTCGTGCGTTATGGTCACTTCGCCGAGCGTTCAAATCTTTTGACGAGGAAACGTTTCGAATTTTATATCCCACCTATGTAAGACCACATTTAGAGTACTGTATCCAAGCAGCTAGCCCGTGTCTGGTAAAGGATACTAACTCCCTTGAGCGTGTCCAGCGTGTGGGAACGAAATTAGTGAAGGGTCTTTATAGACTCCCTTACGATGAGCTTTTAAAACGCCTAAATCTTTTCCCCTTGTCGTATCGTAGGACACGAGGTGACCTTATACTGGCATTTCGTATCTTTAATTATGATTTGGGTGTTAAAATGTCTTATCTTTTTGCTCCCTCCAGCACTAATAATCTCCGAGGTCATAGCAAGAAGGTTCATAAACCACGATCTAATAAACTTAAAGTGGGGTCCCGTTTTTCTCATCGAGTAGTCAATCATTGGAACGCCTTACCCGAACAGGTGGTATAAGCCCCATCAGTGAATACTTTCAAGGAGAAGCTGGACCTTCACTGGAAAGCAGTGTGTCAGGATTAATACAGCTTCATCAACCTACTATCCTTATTACCGATGACTGAAGACTGCTCTCCATTTATCAAGAGAACGTGCTGATATTATGTGTTCCGTTAGAGAATTGCAGTAATTCACTACTAAGTGATAGAGACTGAACACGAGGTGTAAGCGATTTGATCTCGAATTTTGAAATCCCTTAGAATGTCCTCTCAGATTATCAGTCCCTGGTGGAAGAAAAAGATAAGACGGGATAATACCAAAATTATCATTCTGTATACGGTAAGTCCGTATTATATCACCCGTAACCTGCTGTAAGATAACAGAAATAGATTGAATTGTCTCAGTCTGTCTTCATATGGCAGGTCAGAAAAACCGTTCTCAACTTTAATCCCTCGCCGCCGAACTCGTTCTAGAATATCAGCCTCTTACATGAAACAAGGACTCGCTTTTTTTAGTCCAAAAGTTTTACAAACGTTCATTTCTAGTAAATTACAGGAATTGTACGACCTGCGGAGCTCCTGTGGATTTGTCTTAATTACTATCATAGTCCACCCAATTCGACAAATTAATTGGTGTTGGGCCTTTTTTAACACTGGAACAGTACTTGCTTCTAACCACACAGTATTTAAAGCTTGATGAACACTACATCAGGCGACTTGTACGACGTTGAATATATGATGTGAAACAGTGGAGGTCAATAAATACTGACTCGAGAACACTATCAGAACTGCGTGACTCGGTAATACCAGTGTATCCACTCTGTGAAATTCCCTCGTCTTTATATTACACTATTTTGTCGGTTAGCTTGAGTTTGTTTCCGAAAGATTTTTGATAAACACTACTCACAAGTGTAATGATAAAGCAAATAAACATAGACGATGGTGTGACTTTGAAGTAAGATTATATATATATATATATATATATATATATATATTAGGCCGTCACATCATTGAGATTCAACTATAATATACAATGTCTGTTAGTCTAATATCATCAGATAAACGTACTAGTACCGACCAAAAATAAATACAACAGGATTTAACTAAGAAAGATTGTGAAATTATTCCTTGGCAATATCGACGATAAATACTTTGCCTTAAATATCAGAAAAATGCATGGATCGTCTCTCACACCTAAGAGCATGCTACTATATAATTCTCAGAACAGGAACAAAATGACAGGGCTGGTTCTCTTTGAAGACGCCACAGGTATTGGGAGTTTGACAACGCTTTAACCAGTAACACCTCATATGAAGCGTACCCACCAAGTGAAGTCAGAAGACAGAAGCGAGGAGGTTCGAAGATATATTTGATAGGCTACCAATATATCGAGAATCGTCTAATCTAATCTGGCAAGCGATTGCAGGGTTTGTTGAGATCGGCGTCCATGTGAATTCATCCTCTCACCATAAGACTGCTAGCACTTCGAGTTACGTCAATGAACAAGTATGTAGTGGCATTGGACCATAACCACACAATCCTCAAAGGTGAACATGAGACAACTCGGAAAATAGATATTCAATAGGTAACACGGAGAAATACCTAACGATGGAGTAGGCGGGAGGAATGACTTGAATGAATTGGAGTTGACCGAAAGGCATGAATCGGCCATGCAGGCCTGGTCCCTGTTGAATGTTACCGTATATCTTCTATTCATATTAAATATATTGTTCTTTCTCTAGCCTAAGCTTGTTCTCCATCATGTATTGGTAATTGATACGATACAGTGAGTTGGCGTAGTCGATGGTGTGACTTCCACGTAAGATCTTATATATTAGGCAGTTATATTATGAAAAATCTACAAATTTAGGATTAGGTCTATTATTAGAGCATCACTAATTGTTACGTCCAAGTATGAGTTTTGCTCGTTCCAGTTATTGAAGTACGGACTATCGATATTTGCAAATCACGAGCCCAAGTAAGCAAGAGAACCAAAACTCCAAATCACGTACCAAGTTTATTCGTAATTCACAAATAATCGACCAAATGTCGTTCTAACAACAAAAATTATAACAATTACAAAACAAACCTTCAATTTTGTAGGTTCCCGGAGCAAAACTTCCAAATACCAACCAAAGACAAAGAGAGCACCAAAATACCAAACCAAAATGTCCGAAATAATGATATAAACAAACAAGTTCAAAAGTTAAGTAAAACAATTACTTCCAAAAACACAGTAAATTATTAATGTTCAATAGAAGGTTTTAATCCGCCAAATGTCTTCAGTTCTCCCGTAACACTAATATTATAGTAGACCATAATTCTACAAGTGTACTCTAGTCATCAAATTCTGTTTAGTGCAGATTAAAAGGTTATTGAGTAATATTATTTTAGCATCATATTTGTTAAACTAGGCAGATTCATAGATTTATTTGGCTACATTGCATATTAACACTATTAATAAAGCTGTATCATGTTATGTTTGGCATTATTTGAACTCTCGTGTATCGGGTACCATAACACCTTAGTTGAGACACATGTAAGGCAATTATGATGAGAGATCGTCTGCACGAGATCGTTATTTATCTTCCTCAAACAAAGTGTAGAGTCGCCTAGTGGCCAGTTATTCTATAACACATCGCAAATGTCAAACGTTTCGTTAAGACTGATAATCAAATACAGATAAATAAACGAAAACCAAAGAAGTATCCATAAAACCGAAGGTCCGAAAAACAGTTTTTGAATAATTTTGGAAGTTATTTCTATGGTTAGTCGCTTGAAATTCAACCAACCTCCTACTGACATGTTGGAACTCAATGTTTCCCGATCAGTTGCTCCTGCCTCCTCTTCATTTGTCTTACAGCTCGGCGACACTCGAAGGATTCATATTATTCGTTTGGCGCGCTACTACTCTCACACATGTTTAGAACCTATTTAAACGGCCGTCGAATCTGGTGAGGAATTATTATAAAGCCACTGAAATGTCACTGAACTACAGCCGAACGATCCAACCGTTGGGTCACTGAAGATCGAATGATCGTCGATCCTCGTCAAGACCAAGTACAACCAACGTGGATTAGCCAAACGTATGCCTTATGGTAGTGATCTTACTATCTTCTCTGTACCCATTCTTACTAATATATTCCCGTGATAACGTCCTTTGTTTTGTGCGGTCTTCAAAGCATTCATAGTAACTTGGTATTACGAAGGGGTAGTTCACATTAGGTGCTGACCGCGAGGTATGATCTCGGCGTTAACTGTTGGTCACGCCATTACCGTCTACCTCGAGTAGGCCCCCAGTCCTTCGACGTAAACCACCAACGTTGATAATGAAGTACCTACTCAAACGATATATAAAATGATTGTCTTACAAGTGAAGATTTTTTACTTGGGAAAATAAGGTCTCAGTAATGTAAGTTATACTTGGTAGTGCAGATGAAAGCAATGAAAATGCTTACAAATTATGATCAAACGACTAAGGTTAACCCATTTAACAAATTAACTACAAGCGTGCGCCTCTTGTGACCTTAAGACATTGTGGTAAACTGTCCAACGTCCAGTTATCAGTCTTGTTGAGCAGACATGAATTTAGCGGATAACATTGATGGGGTTCCGTTATTTTTCTAACCCTATAAAGTCAGTGACAAATTTATGAAGCTTATATTATACCTCCGAGTAAAGACATTATACTTGAAACTATCACATTTTTTGGTGCCCAGTTGTACCACTGCTGGTCAGTTTTATTAAGCAAGTACATTTTATATTTTTCTTCAATAAGACTTTCAACGAATTTTTCAGTTTCAATTAGCGTCCGGACTATAGCAACACCGTGGTCACGTGTGACACGATGCCGATGGAAAATTACACGTGGTTAAGTATGAATACACAACGAAATTTAGCGTCAAAAATTTCTAGCTCTAATATAGTGCTTGGCGAAGGTACATAGGGCACAGTCTTAGGTGCAGAGTTATTTACTTCTAGCGTTGATGACTTCTTTGATCTTCTAATACCGCCAGATATTTATCCATAGCTAATAGGTCATGATACATAAAGTGACAACAGGCGGGAAGGACGTTACAGAGGTCCATCAATATCTAAATAAACTATCAGAGGTTTTCGACACTTGGCAACTGTAAATTGTTGTTTTCAAGTACATTATGGTTTAGATTGTTCAAAAATAGGCGAGTAAATTCATATTGAATGATCTGAGTATATCCAACAAACAAATTAAGAATTCCCCGCTCTCATCACAGCCTTGAATCATTTATGATGGTTGTACATCTGGAGAGCGTTCAGGCACATTGTTGGCCATTTCGACGGCACACTGGAATGTACTCAAACGGAGAGCCACGAAATCAATTTGGGGACTCGGAGTAAAACCCTAAGAAAAAGGGTGACATTTTATTGACTTTCAGCACTCCAAACACTTCTAGGTTTTCCTTTAATTATCTACTAACACTCAGTCCCAAAACAAACCTTGGGCTTACCATTTAAAAAATACGGACGGGACATGACAGAAGGGACCATACGCATATCTTTTTCTCCTTACAGCCTGTCGAATTCTGAATTACGCTGCCGGCTTATCTAGTACTGGCGACTTCCCAGAAACCCTTTAAAATAAAACTTGACATTTACTTAAGAACTGAGGACAGTCTCTCACCAGAACGTTTTGATAATTGTTTTTCTACCACTAGATATAACTTAGTTCCTTTCTGACGGCATCGGTGATCCACTGTTTCTAGACACGAAAGCCCGTTATGTAAAGATCTATTTCGTTCAGAAACATTCGCACCATTTGAAGAACAGTAATCTGTCTTAAAATAAGGAATCGTTGTGGTCTGAACAAACTTCGAAGCCTTTTGAATGAAAATGACTGAGACTAGATCGTTAACATGAAAAAGCTATGAAAATGGTGTGCAAAAATTGAGCGGTGGGGAACAAGTGATGACAAGTATTGGAAGACCTCCTTTCAATTTGATCTTTTAAATGGAGGTCATAGTTTGTTATCTCTAAGCAAGGCAAAATTTCCAGTGTGTTTACTAAATTTTGGACATTCGGCGCTGAATTTGGTTGACCCCTCAGTGCGCGTTATTCGTTTTGACGTCGGAATCTGTATATTTTGTTTTTGTTGGTTAGATGGTAATCTATGGACCTTTGAACCACATTTTGAAAGAGGTCGTCTGCTTGTAAGTATACCCATATGAATGTATGAAAACTCTGAACTTTAATTTCAAAGTGTTCCTAAATTTTTATGAGGTTTAGTTTTATGATCGCATTTGTATAAACATTGACCCGTGTATGTGGCTCGTAAAAAGTTTGTGTCTTCAGCATAAAACTGAGTTCACCCTTTGGAATCCGAAGGTTATCAAACCATACCCGTCGACTTTTGTACGACTTCTTCATGTTCAGCATTAGTGAACAACTAAATTGATGAATGTAGAACTCTACTCAGGTTTTACCATTGTAATCCCTAAATGACATTCGAAGTTGCCCAATTTTAGAGTATGACTTATTTCTACCTTCAAGTAACCAGAGTTATAACATTAGTGTCTCGTCGTTTCATCATGCCTTAAATTGTGTTTAGGTTTGCATATGTAAGTTAGGCATTTTAGCGGTATCCTCAAAACAGTTCGAGATATCAGAAGCTCGGTGCCACAACGAAAAATTAGTTAATATGCTGTAGATGTATTCACGAATCATAATTTTAGTCTCAGGTGTTTTTATTACTGTTCTCTTCACGGTTCGTTTGGCTTTTGCTTGGAATGGGGTTTTTAGGAACTTGAAGTCCTTGGCACATGCTTGTTTTTGTTACAGCTAGGGTGTATGTTTTTTACATTTTCTTGATTAATATTGAGTATGAACCAGCAAGTTACGTTTTCGATTATTATCTTTCCATCATAATTACCAGCTGTACAGAATACAGTTCTATTTCTTAAATTACTACTTTTCATTTTGTTTTTCAGCCCATTATGAGCAGTGTTCGACCGATCTCTTTCACAGCTGCAAAACTGCTATGGGACCCAGAACTAAATCCATCTTGTCGAACTCCTTTGTATCGAGTTGATGGCATTGTAGAGGGGGTAAGCTCGATCTTAACAATAATTATACTTTGAAGCGAAACGAACCAGATCCAGATCCAGTAGTTGATCCCAGACGCCCTTTGCACTTTAGGAATTTTTGCAAGAAAGCGGTTGTCGATCTTCCGATCCCGAGTTTCAAGGTATTTCGCGATTTACTTTAGGAGCAATATGTGACAGATTGACTTATATTACGTGGGTGAAAAACCAGAAAAAGAGGTCACTTTCTCGAATCTTAATGATAACATCACATTTAAGAACCTAGAAGACATGTGTCGTAAATTCGGTACGATTATAGAAGCTAAAATCTACTATCATCCAAAATCACAATGCCACCTTGGTATCGGAACCGTATGTTAGAATTGGATTTGCTATTCAACTTTTCAGGTTGTATTTACATCCTCTAAAAGTGCAAGAGCTTGTGTGGAACATCTTAACCAGACATCAAAGATGGGGAATATAATGACCGTACAGGTGGATCCTTTTGGTAAAAAATGATTTGCTCTAATTAATCTTACTTTAGGTAAAATTAGAGTCCGGTTGATTGCTGAACAAATGGCTGATCTCCTGCCTTCAAACTCTTGTGATCACTTCCAACTTCCAGAAAAACCTTTTGCTAATCAGATACACAGTCACATACCTTCTGATTTCTCATCACAAGGTTCCTCAAATTGTGAAGTTTGTCCACACAATCCCACTCCACGTCAGTCTCATACATCCGCAAACCTTAGCGATCACAAAGCGGTTGAAACTTTGCCACAACCGCATTGCATGACAACGTTCAAGTCTCACCTGTTTTTCAAAGCATCTGATAAACAGGAATCGGACTTAAAAACACATTTACGTCCTGAAAAGTCGGCATGTGTTTTGAACAACGATGATATTTCAGAAATATCTTGTGCCGCTACCCACTGGCATCGAGAAGCTCCGTCTAATTCAAATATTGGCAAAAGTACTTCAGGTTTTTTAGTAGACCAACATACAATGGGACTTGAAGCCAATACATGTGTTTCTAAAAAGCTTTCTAGCCAACAAGATGATGCAAAACTTCATGAGTCCCGTTATTGCGAAGAGTCTCTTGAAGCTCGCATACAAAAATTGCTTAAACTGAATTGTGTAAAACCAGTTCCTGAGTTAAAACATACTCAGAATACCCCAGTCGTTTCAGATCATAACTCGAAAGTCACTTGCAATCTTTCAGTATCTTCAGAAGCATGTATTTCGACCAATGTACGTATCAAGTCGGATGATTTAAAACGGTTTGAAAGCCCTTCAAATCAAGTGGTTCAGAAGGGAAGCACGCCTTCTGATTCATCGAAAAATATACGAGTAGTAACAAGCCCGTCATCCAACCGTCGCACGCTTTTACCTACTCCGGATGGCTCACTTGAGAATACCAAGACTTCTTTGTTCAACCTTCATCGTCCGCCTCTCCTAAAAACTCCTTACAAACCAGTGGATGTTCAGGAAGTAATAAAAATAATCGATGACGTTCATATGGTTTTTGTGGATGAGTTACGAGGAATCATACATCGGGATATAACCCGAAAGCTTGTTGAAGGTCAGGCATTTAAATTGTTTTCCGATTGGTGGGATTCAAGAGAACAAGACTACAGAGTAAGTATATTATATTGTCATCATCTGACATAGAAATATCTTTATCAGCCAGGAAAAGCTAGTTATTGAAGCAACCGTCAAAAGTGATCTAGACCTTTGTAAATTGAGGGAAAGTTTATATAAACTGGGTTTTTGTCAGTTAACCATTAAAATTGTTATACTCGGAGTAAAATTCTGTGCGTCTCAAATAGGTTGTGCCTTGGGTTAGTGGGTTAGTGGCTAAACTACCCGATTTTCAGTCGTTTGGTTACGGATTAGGACCCTATCCTATCTACTTTGGTTTAGGCAGTTTAGTGATATTAACTTTCACTTAGTATGACGTGAAACCTAGTATGTAAACTGCACTTGGTGAGTGAGCTCTGGCTTTTTTATTTCATTACTCACTCTGCTGGACACTTGCACGATGTTGATAAAAATATGACTTAGTCGGAATTAGAATTTCATTCTAATTAATCTGTATCAGAATTGTGATAATCAGGCAGCTTTCGTAGATCATAATTTTTCGTCTTCCGTTTACAACTTTTCATGAAAACTGTATGCGTACAAAATTTATTTGACAATTCATTAATTTCGTTTATTTACTTTTATTTTGATAGCAAAATCATGTCAGTAGTCATCACAATACTAAAGAGGAGAGTGTGGGTAGTAATTATGTAGACCATCCAACCACATCTCATGATTCTACCGTTCCATCACACCAGAACCAAAGTGCTAGTGGGAATATGTCTAACTTTTCATTTGCTCCTACTTCAGTTTCTTCTAGTATTCCTGTATCAACTATGTCTGACAATAATTCTGTATCTTCAAACTTTAAACTTTTTGGTTTGGGTATGTTTACAACCTTAAGATCTGCTTTGCCAAAAATTAAACGCAAACCTCGTCCACCTAGTCCTGAACCCATAAGTTCAAACACAGTAGCTTCCACATCAAAGACTGAGTCTCTTGCTATCTGTCAAGATGAACAAATGTAAATTTTCGGAGTAAAACTGAATTAAAGCTAAGAGGATCTCCTGTTTGGGAAAGCCGTGGTTCTCTAATGGAAAAAGCAAGTGACATATCAAGTTCGGACGAGAACAATGGTGAAGTAAATATTCGTGGTAAAATCTCTGAATCTTCAGGTAATTTTTTGTTCGTATATACTCTCATCTTATAAATTGATTACTAGTTGACAAACCGCTTTTTGGGGAAATGTCGAATTATATCAGGTATAAACTTATGTAATGAGTAATATATTTTAAGTTCAAAGAGTTTGTCAGAAATTTAGTCAGTTGTCTATTTTTGTAATGGTACAGTTGCTGAAATCTTTTTAAGATTATGTATTACAATGAGTGGATTTGAGGAATGCTGCTTAGTTTCTTTTTAACTCCTAGTCGTTTATTCCAGTAGTCATTAATTTGTTTACTGCCCCGCAGTACGGTCCGTATTTATTGATGGATGTGAATTAGGAAACACGTCAGCTGCAGTTTTTTATTATGAGTATATGCAAAGCATTGTTTGCGTTTCGCGTGACAATCGGCGAATGAGTGAAGTCAAGCTTGGGGTATTGGGCAGAGGTGGCGAATCTGTTGACGACTTTGCAAATCCTCACCGACTGAAGTAGTTAAGACATGTGTTACGTATGTTTAACCACCGCCAAACTCGACAGGGGATGCTTGCTGGGACAATAGTAGGTTAGAAGAAAGCTAGGAACGTCTTAATCACAACACAATATTAGTTTATGAAGTCACTGATTACCTAGTTGAGGTACACGAGATAACCGCAATCAGTGTTTTGGGATTTTATGCGATATTGCTTCGACTCGTTCACAGCTGTGCAGACACACTCTTTATCTTCTCGGTCCCGGATTTCAGTATTCCTTGTTACATACCTTTGCACTCTGCCTCATGTAAACAAATTTCAATTTCACATTTTTGGTAAAAATGTACTTCAGGTAGTGAAAGTTCCACGGAACAAGCAGATCAAGTGACTAGTGATCGTGTACGAGATCTTTGCAGCTCAAAAGAACATCAGGATAGGCATAGATATCATCACGTTAGAAGACGCTCTGGAACTTCCAAGTCAAATGACAAATGTGAATACGTTCGATCACAGTCTAAATTCTCTTCAAAATCAAATCATTCTCCTGAAAATATTCGTACAAGCGATTATACTTCATCGGATAATGATAGCGAACTCATTTCTCCTTCAAAATCTTTTCAGCATATTAAGTCTCGTAGAGAACATGCGCGTGTTTCAGATGTATTTTCCAAAAGGTATATTTCCATTATTAAAAACCTATATTTCACTATAAATGTCTTGAATATTTTCTTATCTAACAGATTATAACGTTTGATGAGACCTAATTTCTATATCAGTGTGAACGGGGTTTGTTTATATGATTGTTAATAAATTCGAAATATACATTGTTTGATTGCTGAACACCAGCCTCAGTCTTGTCGTAGTAACCATATTGTATATCTTGATAGACACTAGTCTGTTCATCTGAAAAATACTACCGTGAATTTTAAATTGAAGTACAAAAGCATGTAAATGTTCTTGTGTTAACTCCCAAATTTCATCAATTATTATAGTAAAGAGAAGAATTTATTGAACTAATAATGTCAGTATATGACCTGTTGTAAATTCTTTTGAACCATTTGGCGAGATTATTGTAAGTTGGTACAAACTATATAGATCATGTTTAAGGATTCTAATGGGAAATATGTATTTGTGCTAAAATGATTTAAAGTCACTCCTAGATAAATAAACATACAGCTATTAGGCAGCTTAAGTTATAGACAGACTAAAAAATCTATCTCAACATCGTACCTGTCCACAACTTAGTGCGTAGAAGCCAAAGACACCATAACCGATATGTTGATTATTTTCTATTGACATGCATAAAATCAAGTTTACACTTGAATTATTTCTCTAGTCTTTTTGTACAATGGAGAGTTCAGCGTTTTAGATGCAACTGACGGCAAATTTATAACCTAAGGATTTTTCACGCGCTATGCATCTTTTTTTTTAAAGAGTATTAGGACCATTTCTTAGTTTCACAGTGATAGGACATTTTTACTTTGTAGCACTTTTTTAAATAGTCAAACAAATTTCTTGATCAGAAAATCTCGTCCCTCTTTTCAGAGGGCAGAGTCGGCCATTTAGAACAGGTGACTTATTACATTTTAGAAGTTGGGGTTTTATCAGAATTGTCACTTTCGGTGGATTGCTAGTTTTTTGTTATCTTAGTTAACTTATAAGTTGCTACAATGACTGTAGTAGTAGTCTTACTGATCACTTCAACCGTAGTATTGAACCCAAAATTCTGACTTAACAGTTTTGAGAAAGTAACCACGGTTTGGCTGACTGGATATCCGAGTAAATATGAAGCAATAAGGGGTCCTCAGTCATTTCCACAGCATCTATCGAGTATACTTGATTGAAGTTATTCAGTTGTTGACAGGACGCATCCTTGATTGTTACTGGATTGTGGTTCATTGAATTATAAGCAGTGATAAGGATACGACATCATATTGGATGCTAATTTATACTCTGGTTTAGCCTAATTCCTGTTAACCACCTATTAATGAGAACCTAACCGATTACAGGTATCTCAACTCTGGTAATTCGTACGAAATCGATACAAATCATTTTAGTCCAAATGATAAACATAATTCACACCAGCTCAATATATATGTATTGTCGTTACATAAAAGAAGCCACTTCATTCAAAAAAGAGCTTACACTCTAGTATCCAGCAAAAATCATAATACTTTGTTGCTGACGGTAATATTGAAAACAAGTAGAGGCTTCACAAACTAGAATTATGTAGGATGGTCGATGTTTTCTTGTGCAGGAGTAGGCTGAAATAAAGCTAGGGGCGTCCAAGACAAAACATGGCATTCGTTCTTAATGTCACTGGCAATTGAACTTAGCCATGTTAATAGGTACAGACTACCTGACTGGGGGTCTGCGTGGTTATCGTAACCAATAGTTAGAGACTTTGAATGACATGGCTAAAAATCGTTTGCAATGGCGCAGGTAAACCCATTCTTTGTCTTTCCACAAATTCTGAGGTCTTAAATTCCTCAGAACTTTGTTTTGTTTTTATTTCACTAATTTATATTTTCTTTTCTAGTTGTATCCTCTATGCCTAATCTTTTCTATTACCACTGATACTGTTAATACACCTACTGTTTTAGGTTTTAGCCTGATAACATCTCTGTACTTATAGGGCATGGTAAATTGAACCGACGTACATAAGTACAGATTCTATGTTGTCACTGACTGACTGATTATGTAGGAAATTCTGAGATATCACAGGATATAAAACAATACCAAATTCGGATAAAGTAATGGTTGGCTGAAGCTTGCTGTGACTTGAACTGAGTTCCTCTCATTTCATGTACATATTTGCAGCTGATGATATTCCATCACAATGAAAGATCAGAGAAACACTTTTCTACATAGAGCTGCTGTACGTTTGTGTTGTTTTCAACCAGTATTGGATGTAGTACCTAAATCATGTTAAAATGTAAATTTCCGGATGCCGATCAAATACATCAAGATCCATTATGAATCTAAAAATGCGAAAATACAAAATGATATTTGTAAGAAACATTGTCTTCCTCTATCCTTAATCCACTTAACAGTGGGTAACCGGGTTCATAAATCTAGAATATCATTTACTTTAGTTTCACTACAAAAACTCGTGAGAAAAGCAAAATGACAATAAGGTCAGTTTTGTTACAAGACTACTTGTTAGAATGCAACAAATAGGCACCAAGAGAAAAAATTCTCAATCAATTATGGGACAAATATGGAATCATACCTTACATTGTTAACAAAGGGACGTTATTTCAATACCCACTTTTTATCCTTCTAATTCTGTTCGGAGTACTTTACTTTTCAGCTATCACATACCGCTACTTCTATCACTTTAGCACATATCATGATAATTTCATCTCTCTGTGCTGATTTAATGTAGCAACTTGAAGCGATGCACATTATTATTAGGCTCTATGCTGGTTATAAGTAGTGACTGACTGTCTGGGACTCTATCTGACTCAGATTAGTAATTATGGCTCAAAAAGTTTGTCACAAGTTCGCAAACTTGTCTACGTTTTTACACAACACAAGGCTTGATCTTAAGATTGCTTACCAGATAATTCTTGCGAAATCTATCAGCTCACCGAAGAAAATTGTGTTAGCATATCTTTCATATCTTACACCGTAACAACCATGCTTTAGTTCTAGATTCACAAGTTTGCAGCTTAATTTACATTTGAAAAACATTTGGATATCCTCACTGTACTGTTAATATTGTAGGTTTCCAAAAGCTAGTCGTTTTATCTGCATGTCCAAGTTCATTTTGATTCATTAAAAGTTTCTGTCATGAACTAACAGAAGCCGAAAACTCTTCTAAAGCTAGTTTGCGACTGCTTACCCCCAACCCACCAATCTTATAAATCTACACTCTTCACTATCTCTGAGGCGTAATGCATAACAAATTTTAGACATTTTTATATATTTAACAAAATTTGTGTCGTCATTTTCTTTTCAGTGTACTTGTAGTTCTTTGGAGGATATCTTGGCGAAAGCCCTGTATAAAAAGTTGAAAAAAGGAAATCCCAAAGATAAATCCACGAGAAGAAGCTACCAGTAAACCATCATCTATAGAAACCTCCCCAGACAGTACTTAGCAGTAAACATTCATACCTTAGGGGGTGTTTGAGTAAATACCATTTTGTGATGTAATTTGTTTGTTTCGTACTTTCAAGCGAAGAATCATCGGTTAGTAGAAGTAATCGCTGTTTTACAGCCTTACAGACCGTGGTTTTAGTTGTTAACCCAAGGTTTGCCTGTTTCTCCTAGTTCTGCTTTCTCCGAATCATCGTCATTTTTCGAATTTGAGTACAACGTTTTTTATTCTCTATTGCTCGAAACTATTGGAAGGTATTTATACCTAATTCACACCGCTCAGCTAAAGTAAATTAATTATAGCTGTTAAGTTTCAGTCTCTTACAACTTGTATTATTACTCTTCTTTTTCCCTTTTCAGAATTGGGATAGTCTTCTCGACTTTGGCCTTAGCTTTTATCTGCAATGGTCCTCAGAGTCAGTCTTTCTGGAGACGGTTTTAAATGAATCTTGATAACTGGCTATTATTAATTATCACTAGTACACTTCGCTCATATTAATTTAGTAATAGTTTGCATTATTTGCAGTTGTCAACTCGCCTCTTCATCGTGTTTGAACTATTGTTACCTAAAATCAGTTTTTCGGAAGAAGTAACTAACACAGACCATGTCATACATTCACTTGTGTACAGATGTCCACCTCTGTCCGTTCACTAAATTACATTCAATATCAGGTTACATTAGGACACGTTTAGCTGCCATACTTGGGCAACCGTCAAAGTAGCCATTTCTTAGATATGTATGCGCGTTACTTTCGTACAAATCTGGTGAAAAACGTAGTAACGTGGATAATTTTGTAAGATTCAGTATTCTGAAACTTTTTGTTTAATCAGTCAATTAAAATTACGGTTAATATTGTTGTTTGCTCATCAGCTATGTAAGTTACGACATGCGGTCTACCATTTTCTGCTAGGTGAACTATTTTCTCCAATTTAAGAGTGAATTACTATTTCAATAAATTTGGATCGAGTTTAATAGAATTTACTTCCACATCTATGAAAAAGTTTTATTTATATTTTTTCGTTTCAGTGATTCGAAAAGTCCAATTGGATCGAGTTTACCATCTGATAGTGAAAGTTCGGACCTATCAACTGAACCACAAAATAACCCCGATGAAGCTCGAAGATTTACAAAACCTTCACCGGATGAACTTTTTGAGATTTCAGATTTTAAATCAGACTCCCCTAATCGTGGTCGTTTATCACTTGTAGAAACTTCACACTTTGAATCTGCGCGGAACAGAAATTCCAATGATTCACTTTCTTCACCTATTTCTTCACAACCAGAGGTAATGATTTTTTAAATGCCTAAATTGTAACTTGTCGGCCAAGCTGTATACTGTATGTACATTTGCTCTGCATGTTTACCTTCTAGTGTTGTGTACAGTGTTTATTTATAAATCTAAAATACCTTTTATTCTATTTCATTATGATTATGTTACAGTTGACTGGTGATATTTTAGTGAAAATAGAGAAAATCACTTGCAATTATTAGAAAGGACTGAAACGATCCATCCACTTAACATTTGCCACCGTTTAATGATTTAGGTTAATCACCTTACATCATCCCATACCCTTCGATGTAAGTGTTCGCAACCTTCATTAATTAGATTTATTTTTTTGTTCTAGTACCAGAGTCTGTACACGTTGCTAAGTTTGATTCCTAAAGTAGCTTATATTAATAGTTGATTTTGTACTTAGTTAACCATCATAAAAATGGAGGGGGACTTGGTTACTGTTTCTTCCTTCATATATATATATATATATATATATATATATATATATATATATATATATATATATATATCATTATTGCACTTTGATAAACTTATAATTTTTTGAGTTATAATGGGTAAACGCAGACCAGTATGTGTCACATATCTGTAAACCAATTATATTTTGTTAGGCTTCAGGTTAATTTAAAGAACGCTAAATATTTCCATTATGCTTTAATTTTGATAAGCTAGTCACTATGGTCAGTTTTCTCTGATGGTGATATTTACCTAAAATAATGACTTTTTAAAAATCTTCCATCCTATTACTGAATATATTAATTCAGAAATTTCGAAAGCTATGGAAAGTAGTTATATACATTTTGTATCTGATCTGCCAGAATGCAATTATCAGCATTCTTTGTCCAATTTTTTCATTGTCAAACATGCCTAATAAACCTTTTCATTAGGATAAGACAATTTTCATCGTAATTTTTCAAGTGAAATGGAATGGTTTCTTAGTGGACGATTGTTTAATTAGTTCAGATGTCATTCTGCATTGATTGCTACTCTGCACGATTATGTAAATATCAAGATATTTTTTCGACTACCCTAAAGAAATATGAATAAATAATGACAAACTGATGAGAACTTAGTAATTATTTAAAACTACCAACCACTCATTAAATTCCGGTCATAAATATCTTGGTTACTACTGATTTGTTAATTTTTACTTTATGTATGATGACTTGATTGTTTTATGTGTAGTGTATTGTGACGGTATTTGTAATAATTCCTTATTGAATCAATTTATGAAACATATTGAAAGTGCAATATTTACCCTTTGTTTCAGAGTGCATTGGATTCCGAAGAAAATGAAGATACAGAGCTAACGGTCGTTGGTAAAATCCACAAACCTGAAAAATGTACTGCCTTCCAACGATCACCCGTCTCCAAACCTGTTTGTCCTGTTCAAGAAGTTCGACGCAGAAGAGGTCGACCACGAAAGAACAACCAATTGTCACCTAAATATTCATCTAATTTCAGTCCACAAAAAGAGACATCTGGTTTTGAAGATTCTTTGGTTTCTACAGAATCTAGTTCTGAAGACGATATGTTTAAGACAAATGATAATAGTTCCCGCGTAAGCATATATTTGATTATACAGATACTGACTAGAAAAAATCTAGCAATCAGTTGTACACTCAGTTTATACATCGACATTACTTATGAGTATTGAAGTTTAATGAGAAACTATGATATTGTTCATGTGTTTATTGTGTATATAAAAATGTTTTGTCAGATGTGTTGATTGTATTAACTCCTAAAGCTGGGTTTAATTTTTCATCCTACAAATAAATTGTTGCGTTAAGTGTCATCATGTCTAACTGATCTTATGTCAGTCAGATCGTATTTTAGATTATATGTACCATGGGTAAAAGTATTTAAGTTATTAGTCACTATGTGAATTTTCAAAAGTTAGTTCACAACTATATTTTCCAATAGTCTTATGTGTTCATCTATTTTTTGAATAAATATTCTAACATTGGATAACCTTATACGATGTTTTTCTTACTTAAAGGATTTCTCTACTTGTGATAATATCCCTTCAAAAGTTAACCAAGTGAATCATCAATCAAACACCGACTGGTCTATATTACGTGCATCTTTGGAGTTCCAATCTTCAGATTTTCCTACTATTCCTTTGACATACAACTCTCAACCATCTGGAGGTTCACGTAGAAAACAGAATCTTGGTGGCTTATGCAGAAACAATATGGCCTTGTCAACTACTGATCAAAAAAATAAATGTACATCATTTCCAGACACTGATATTCCTCAGAAAATGAGTTTGATCTCTGATCAAAAACTCCATAGATATCCATTATACCATTCTCCAGGATTTCCTGTATCAGTGAGCGTAAACATTAGTTATTCCAAACTCTTGTTTTAAATTTAAATCCCATGTACTTGTACTTTAAGAAGCCTAACGAACCAACGTATTTTGTGTTGAAGTTTGGTAATTGGAATTTCCACTCACTTATCTACCGAACGTGATTTCATATTTCCTTTAGCTAATGAGCCTCAATCAGGTTTTTTATTCTTTCCTCAAGTTTGAACTGTACACCGCGTACCATTTTTTTCGCGAAATGTCGACAGTTTGTCAGTGTAACTATTAGCCTAGTACAACCGATATACGGATGGAATCTACCCGAATGAATTAACACATATTTGATGCGCAATATATATAATCCCATATATAGGATAGTTATCTAATTCTTGCCTCGTCATTCTGGTAAAAATTACAAATTCATCTTATACATATTTTTAGCTATTATGTTTCGGTTTTATCGTATGTGGTGTATTTTCTGAACTCAATCATGCTCTGTAAATTATAAGAGCGTTCGTACGATTATTTACCGTAATTCTTCCTTTGGAAATCTGTTGTAGTGGATTTTTTGTTTATCTCATTTGTTAACATGTGATTTAAAAAGACGTTCGGTTGAATAATTTTAGTCAAAGTGGACTCTTAAGATGTAGAGTGGTGGAAATTTGTGGTCTGTTGATTCATGTTCCTGTACATAAACCAATGAACAGGAGATTTATGGGAACTTTTTATATAATTTATGTGTATTGTACGTTCCAGTTATGTTCTGTAATTTTACGTGCAAATATTTGTGTAACTTACAAATAAGTCTTTGGTATATATTTTGCCGTTTTGTTCACTTCAGTCAAGGGATCGTGATAATTTGAAGCTATCTGAAAAATATATAAAGTCGGATGATTTAGATGGAGATAGTACGGATAGTGCTTCAATGGAATCTGTAGATATTGTGGAAGTAAGTAAACTGGCATTTTGTTGCTTATATTAAAATTTCTAGACTGTGGAGTGTAAATATATGTGGCCTGAACCCCTCCTTACCGAGCATAATTATTTTCGTGTTCCTGAGATTGGATCTGTCATTCATTATCGATCTACTAGGAAAGTAACTAAACACAATTTAAAGTCAAAGGATAGTTTCGTCGACAGTCATTTGACCACAGCGGACAATTTACGAAAACGCTCTTGGCCAACAGACCCTACGTACATTAGTGGCGGCGTCAGTGATGATGATTCCCATGATTCTTCTAAGTGGTTCAAACTGTCGAAGCGTTCGAATGTTTCAGAGTTAAGAAATGAAGAGGTTACTGGAAGTTGTAAAGCTGACTTAAAAGCAAATCAGCTTTTGACAGAGGAGAATAAGAAGTCAAAATATAATGAAGCAAAACCTGAAACTTCGAAAGTTCGTGGGTCACGTGAACTGGCCAGTCTTTTAGCACCAGTACCTAAATCCGAAATTCGTCGTGTTATGGGAGAATCTTGCGGTCTACTGAAAGAAGACATTTACAAACGTATGTCTGGAGAGCGAGGTTTTTCTCGATCACAACCACATTTTCAACCAAGGTCGGCATCTGAAGAAGATTACGTAAGTATACTTTATCCATTTGTAGTTTCTTTACCTGATAAGTACGTAGAAGTTAGATTTCTTTTGATGCTAAAAGTGATGACCAATTATTAAGATATATATGCACTGGAATTGTCAAGGATGGGAAGAATCCACTTTTCCTCTTGAAATGCTATCATATAACTGTGAGTCCAGATTATCAGGATACCCCTGCTCGCTGCTTCTACGAAGCGGGGTTCCAAATAACGTGAGAGCAAACACCGGATCGATACGCACTGCATGCTTGTCGAAGGCAGTTGCAAAACCCTAATTCAAAACTAACTGTGCAAGTGATCTCGAAAGTCCAAAGGCGTGAGTCGCTTATATGGTTATTTGGTCAACATTTAATTTGGGATTCCATATCACGTGTATCAGGGACATCACACATTTCCATGATGAAGTTAAACAAAAATGGAGAAAGTGGATAGCCTTGACAGACACCACTTGAGGTTACAAAAGCAGATGGCAGTTCGCCGTAAGCTATGACTCAACTTGTAATGTTCAAGTAAAGAACCTTCACAAGGTTTATGTGTTTTGAGGTATACCTTTCAATGACAGACATTGCCACAGAATCTCGCGGTCTACCGAGTCAAACGCTGCTTTTAAGCCAAGAAAGACCACCATTGTCGGACGCCGATAAGTATGCCTGTGTTCTAGAACCTAACGAATGGTGAATATATGGTCGATGCAGCCACGACCAGGTCTGAAGCCATCCTGATTTTCTCGTGTTTGCAGTTCACGAGTCTTAGTTAGGTGTCCGATAATTATCGAGGCTGGTATTTTAGATACTATATTAGTTAAACTAATCCCTCTATGGTTGTCACAGGATGATTTTGACCCTCTCCTATATATTGGGGTGATAAATGATTGTGACCAGTTAGATGGGATAACGTCCAACTCCCAGATCTTAGCTAAAATACTAGTCAACCTAATAGCTAGAATTGGACCACCATCCTTAAAGACCTCTGAAGCCAATCCATCCGGACCAGCTGCCCTTCCTCGTTTCAGATTAACTATAGCCTTTTGAACTTCAGCTAGAGTTGGTGGGCCTACTTCAATGTTCCATTCACGCTGTTTGGGAACGGAGGGTAGTTGTAGAGTAGCTGAAGGCCAGCTGAACTGTTCTCTGAAATGTTCCGCTCATCATTCTAAACGTCTGGACTGGGAGCAGATGAGAGTGTCGACTTTTTCCGAAATAATCTGACTTACATTTGACTTATTAATTCCAGTTTCTTTTATTAGTCTGTAAAGCTGTCTTGTGTTCCCTATAGTCGCTGCCTTTTCCATCTCTTTTGCTTTCGTTGCACACCACTACTCACAGTCGTCCCTTAGACCTTTGCTTAACCTAGATCTGATTTGTTTGCGCTCTTCATCGTGTTCAAAACCTGATGGAATGAGTTTACGAGAATCCATCAGTGATATAGACCTTGAATAAATCCATTGGTTCTTTGTAACCCTGTGATTTAAATCACTATTAGATGTCACTGCTGTCTCCACAGCTGTTTGCATATGTTTCCAAGCAACATCTGGGTCAGCCTCGTTTTCAGAACTACCTAAGTGTGACCTCAGTTGTTCCTGGAACCTAATTTCGGTTTTCTCATTACTCAATTCAATTCTAATGGGTCTTTTTACTGTGGCATTTCTGCGTCCGGTGAGGCACAAGCAGGTGCGTGCCCGTATTAGGGCATTGCTAGAGTCCAAGCAGGTATTCCAGAATGAGCGACAATCTTCTACCGACCCTCTCCAACAATGACTGATGACAATATGGTCTATTTGAGTCCATCGTTGGTTTGGTGTAGGGGGTCGCCATGTTAGACGATGTCTCTCCGTATGCTTAATATTTGTGTTTGCTAAAAATAAACGATTCTCTGAGCATAGTTGCAGCAGACGATCACCATTATCTGTTCGTTGTGCCAGAATACTAAAATACCCACCTAAATGCCTTTCTGTATGGTTTAAACTACCTATCTGGGCATTAAAGTCACCTGCTACGAGTACTCTGTCTGAGCGTTTAGCTTTCTGAAGAAGTTCGGACAGCTTTCTGTAAAATTCATCTTTCACTTCATCCGAGCTGCAGTCAGTGGGAGCGTAGGCAGAAACGACGGAAAGGCATCGACGTGTGCCCCTATGCTTCCGAGTTCTTACGGAGCCGTTCAGCCGAACAGCACATAGGGGACTGTTAACGGTGATCCATTATAATAGTGCTTGTTCCACCTTCGTACATAGTGCTATGCCTACCAGTCCACTAGAACTAGCCATCGGGTCACCAGGTACACAGAGGGTGTATCTCGTCGGCCCTCCGTTTTGCCGAGGTGAGGTCAACTGAATGACCACACTAGGATCCTGTATGCGCGTTTCCGTTACATCGCATACTTTCATGGTACAAGATTCTAGAGGTCTAGTCAAGGAGGCCTGCTGACCGATTTGACATAGGGTGCGTACGTTGAAGGCCCCAATATGTAGTGTGGAGAGAGGTTTCAGTAGACCTGAGACAGTGTTTTACGCGCTAGAATCGTTGGCTATGGTGACACTTGAGGAGGAAGCCAAAAGAGGAAGTTTAGAGTTTGAAGTCGATGTAGGAAGAATAATAGGAATTGAAGAGGGAGGTTGATTATGAATACAGTGGTCTTGAGTGCTGTTAGAGGTATGAGGGCGATTATCACTTCGCGGTTGCCCACACCGTGGAAGGGTTCTTCTGGAGGTAGCTGATCAGAAAATTGGATTAGAGGTGGTCTTAATGACCTGAGAGCTTGACCGCAGTACCCAGGGGACAACTGCTTGATGTCTGTCACACACGATCTTTTCATGAGTAATTTTTGTGTTAGCTCCGTAGTTGTTTAGACCCTACCGATGGAGACGGATATCCGTGGGATAAGGCGAGATATGCATATTTAGGGTCGACATTTCCTAACCCCACCCCTCGTTATGGGAAGGGAGCATCGCTGTCTGAAGGAAGCCCCTTACTGCTGTCACACCTCTGTAAAGTCAGCAGTACGACTTCGTCTTCGGACCTTGGTTTTGTTGCTTTTAGTCTTACCGCTCTTCAACCGACCTGTCTGACGTGGTAGGACCTTTAGGAACGGTTTTTCCAGTCAGTATAGCTCAGTTGCTTCATCAAGATAGGCAAGCTCGACCACCAAGTCAAGGTAGCAACAACGTACGACTACTTGGTTGGGGTCCACGTGACTATCGTAACACTCTCTGTCTTCCCTTTAACTAAGAGATTACAATCACTTCATGTCTTTCTTTCTGCGAACTAATTCTTTCTTCCCGTACTATATCCTTATATGCAATCTTTCTTTTATATCTTACCACGACTGAATTAACTACTTCTATGGATCGCGTGTTCATCTTGTGCTAATGCGGTATGACAACTTGAAACGATGCATATATGTGCCTGGTCCTACGTTGTAGCTGACTGACTGACTGATCACATATTTCATGATGGTTATGGAGAAAACAAAGAATATGCACTGTTTGCTTTACACGCTACAACCTAGAAGTGCTAACAATTTATGGTTCTTTTATTCTAAAAACATTCATTTTTATACTACTTTGAATATCTGCGCCTCTTTTTCTACTGTAGTCGATTTTTCTTCTTAAGTTAGTTTTCAATAATTTTCAGAAGCTATGTGAAAGTTTTTATGCGTAGTGTTTAAAGTCGCCAGATAGTTGTTCTTTAGATACTTGCTGAGTTTGATATCACTTTTTGCTGTTTGAGCTTGTTACCACTCATGTTTGCTGTATCCTTATTCGTAATTCATTCTCGACCTGTTACTTCGTTAAGTACTTTTTATGCGCGATTGTCTGAGCACCCCATTTTATTATGATTGGACCGTTTTGGCGTTGATGTTAAACTAAATGCATGGGATGAAGAAGTAATAAACCAATAGAGCTTCATTACTGGTCGTTTATGTACTTCGAAGGTAAAAGTCTAAATCAAATATTAACTAACTGAAATAGGAAACAATGTCTGTTTTATTTCCACCTATGTTTCAACTATCATCACAAAGACTGAATCAGGAGTGAGTTCTGCCACATTTTGAATAGCTTCAACTAACCATCTTTCAGTCAAGTACCGTTGGCATTTCCACATTTTTCGACATCTGTTTGGATCAAACTTGCCAAAAGTGGTCAACAAATTTATCATCCTAAACAAATAGGCTAATTTTTAGGATCTACGTTTTCCGTCAAATATCTAACCGATCTGAGTTATAGGTTATGTTCCCAGCTACCGGGAGACGAGACGTAAGTGAGCGTTTTGTGCTTTGGAAGGATGAGCGAAGTCTTCTTCCTCTTGTGAATACTACGTTTCTTTTGGTTTCTTACAATTTGTGGCTAATGAAGTTCAAAACCTGATTCATATAATGAATATGGTTTCACTAGCATACGGTAAAATGTTTTGTATCAGCATAGTGTCTAACTGTCATTCTGAATTTATTAACTATCGACAGCTTGTGATTGGTCGTTGTACTCGTTTCGGTTTACACATGAGTCAATCTCATTGGTTCTGAATTTAGCATCGGTAAATTTTGGTCTATCGTGTTAACCCTCGTAATAAGTTACACTAGACTTATTAGCTCAAATAATTCTTGTGTTCTCTGATCCTATGTTGACTGACTGTATATATGTATCTGGTTAACGGTCGTCAGTGACCTAGTTCATAGCTCAATAACAGTGCAGGTTCGATTTCGAAACCACATCGATTTATCTAAATTCCGTCATAAATGATAGTTTATAGTATCCGTATTTCAGACTATTTCGTAGTATCAATAAAAAATCCTTTTCCCTAAATATCTTATTTCCTGTACATATGACTTCGTTATTTTTATGTATTCTTTTTGGATTGTTTTCTTCACAGATCCTGAGGAGTATTCTCGTTTTTGGTATAGATGCAGAAGATCTTAGTTTTATGTGTGAAGCCTATCAGTTTCTGCTAAGCAAATACCATTCACCATTAGATGTCACTACATATGATAATTTCAAACAAGACAATTTTTATATGAACGCTAAAGTCGTTGATCCTCGTGTTGTAAATATTATAAGCCTTTCACATTGGGTTGAGCATCCGCCTACCCTTGCCGCTGATCCCATTACTGTCAAAACACACGTTAATGATAGTGGACATCTTGTTAATTCACGCAATTTGTGGTCAGGTCGACAGAAGCATGAGCGTCAACGATATCAATACAAATTATTGTGTTCTAAGAATTCCACATCCAAATTATCTTCTGTTCACCATAAATCCTTTGCAAGATCATCTGATTCAGATGACCTTTATTCCTCTTTATCTGATCAATCACTAAATCACTCTTCTGATGAAAAATACAAAAAGGATTTGAGCAACAGCTCAGTATGTAAAAAGGAATGTTCTCCCACTTACTCACCTGTAAATACTTCATATAATCATAAACTAAGACTCTCCTGGCCTAAGTTTGACGACCAAATACTGGCGGTAGCGAATTATGCTGCTTCTTTAAGTGAGAATGTTGATACAGTTGGAGATAGTGTTGATATTCACCTTGGTCCTGCAGCCTGTTTACCACCAATCCATTCATCAGGTAATCGTTACTCTTAATCCGTTAATTACCTGTAGAATTTATAACATTAAAGATAAATGATTATTTTAAACATCTAATTAGGATATTCGAATAATCATTTTTTAGAGTAACATTCACTGAGAGAAAGGCATAAATATTACCAAGTTTTCGTTTCATGATTTTTAAGTTTTACAGACTGGAATACAAACTAGGATTGCGACATCCAATGTTTTAAAGCTTGCACTAATTATCAAGAATTTGAGGTGATAGTTCACTTTCTCATTTTAACTAATAAATAAGAATAATGTATGATTATTTTAAATAATCATGTCGTATAAAGTCTGTTTCATAAGGTTTTTTATCGTACGTTATCTACTTTGAATGAAATATGTAGTTGATAACTTATGCCAATCAAACGTAGCACTCAACTAATACACTTATTTTAATGAGATAAATTTTAATTTTAGTTTTTATTTTATAATCTGTTTGTAGTAATAAAATACAATATTTAGCATTAGTGGGTAAATTGGTAAGCGACCTATTTTTGTAATCGTCGCTGTTTAAACCAGTATAAATTAGTAGGTTTTAAGTCGTCATAGAGTTATTCACGAATAAATCTCACCAAATATAGATCACAGTCCATAATGAAATCTAAATAATCAGTACATCTTTATGACTGTTTTTTTAGTCTGTCTTTGGTTCGGTGCTGTCATACACGCCCATAAAAATTCCAACATTATGATTGCAAATTATTTTGCTTTGTTTGTCCCATATAACTGTGTACGGTCTTGACTTTTTCTTGCTTACTACAGGGTCAGCTCGAACACAGGGCTATTACCGAATGCCTACTGAAGAAAGATTTCGACGTCCTTGGTGTGTCGGTCGAAGTTTAATTGGAGAAGATGGTCGTCGTCGCCCCATTCCCTTAATGCCTGCAACTGTGCAAGCACAGCTTGGAGGTGATGCAGCATTACAAGGTATCCATCGTTCTTTATCAATTTTTATGTACATTTTTCATTTACAGAGATATCATTCCATCGTGAAAAACTATGTAATCGGAGGTTCCCTTAGTTAAACCTTCAGACTCTTGTATTTGTTAAATAACACAATCTATACATTAAGCACTTGATAAATACAGTTCAGTAAGTAGATCTGAAGAGGTTTCAAATCCTATATAGAGGAGAACGATCCATCAGTTTTGAGTACTCCTCATCATTAATTAATATAGTCTGGACAAATATTAGGAGCCAAAAGTCACCAAACCATCCTTTCATCCCAATTATTAATTCTTCTGGGTTATTATATCTCCATTCTCTTTTCTTTTTTAATACGAACTCAAACCGAATATACTGGTAGTCATCTCTTTTATAAGATGATTACCCAATAAGCCTTAGACGTACATTTCTTTTACATCAACATTTTTACGACGTAATTGTCATTTACCTGCAAGTTTTAACAATTTATTTAGGGTTCATCTCACTTATATATTACTCAGGTCATGTCATTTCATGCATTATATGGTTCTTTGATGAAACATTTATTTTGGTTATGTTTTTATTTATCGCACTATCTGATATTTGTATGTATTTCTATTGTTAGTTTAGCAATTTCCCTTAATCTTCAACTCAATTCAAGTATACACTATATGCAATTCATTTCAGTGTTAACAAATGCTTATTAACTTATTTTGCTAGACATCGTTCACATATTGTAAACCAGACAGTCTTGTTTTTTTCTTGTAGCTCACAGAATCTTGTTCTTCAGTTGTCAGTTTACAGTAATACCTTGAATTTCGCTTTCGTGAGAACCATCTGCTTACATTTCACTATAGGTCTTTAGTGCTACTTTATTCAGAAAAATGTACAAGGGATTTTTCAAACTTTTCTAATATTTCCTTAAGGACTCTGTCGATTTTATTTTTCAAGTCTAATAACTGTTTTCTTACTCATTCAATTCTCGGAAGTAGGTCACTAATGGGTGTAAGGATCTACTTCAGTACGTTTGTTCTCTATGGCAAGGTCTGATTCTGAGTTAAACCTAGTGGGAAAGACATATGTAAATTAAGGTCCTGCTTTTTTGTCTCAAATTACTTGATAAAATCTATTTAAACATTTAGGGAACTTACATTTCCTGTTTTTCTTTACTTTGGCATTTCTGTACATAGAATTTATTAAAAATTTCTCAGTAGTATATTCAAAATCCGTTAATGTTTGAATGTTTTCATTTTAATACTTAGCTCATATGTCCAGTTGAGTTTATAATGATGGTTGGGGAGTATTCACTAATATTTTTCATTAATTTTTGCAATCGTTACAACAAAAAAATTATGCTCGACTTTAAGTGAATATATATCTGACTCACAAACGCAGTTTTGTGTTTACTTTTCTAATTAATTAATTATTATTCGGAGTACTAAATGTGTATATTTCAGTAAAAATTATTGTTTCATTCGTGAAATCATAAATAATATGGCCATATTCAAAAATGAACAAAGTTTAGTTAAAGAAACAATCATCAATCATAACTTATCACATTTTGATCAGTAAATATTACTTATTAACTAAAGTAGTCCTTAGTTCATCATGTCATTACTTTAGACAATTCGCTTATTACTTGCCTTGTTTTCACGATCACAACACATACAACATATGTATTTGCTCTTCATGTATGTCTACACCGAATAACCTATGCAACTTTAACAAGAAATATTCTTTGTGTGTAAGTTTTCTAAGACATTTTTTTACCACAGTTTACTTTTCAACAGACCAATCAGATAATTTGACCTTCGACAAACTAGAGCTTTCCTATTGGTTATAGGTAGTTCTTTAATTTATAACCAGTAATAATCACATCATTATGAATAGTGCGTAGGTGGGTGACAATCTATTAAGGTCGTAAGCGGAGAATCTATATGAAGAATTATCGACCCCATTAAAATCGATTTTCAACCAGTGGTTTAGGTCACATAGTCTTTAAGGTTTTTTTTCTCACCTATTGAGTATTAAACTGCATCCATTTATTTAAAAGCTAGTCTGTTTCTTCTGTATCGACACAACTTTGTATATAGAGCATTTTTTCTTGGGAGAGAACCGTGATTTTAGCCAGTGTAGCAACAATAAAGTGTTTGTTAACTGATAAGTTTAAAATTTCCTGCTTACGGTTAAAAACTATTACGGTCAAATTGGTATCTATGCTCTCGTTCATGCATTTTAGGTAATATTGCAATTATGTTGTGTATTATTAGTATTCTTTTCCGCTTTTGTTTATTTGTGTGTTTATAATGTCAGTAGTTATTGATACATTCTCTAATTTTCTACTGGATAACTTTCATAATTTTCTAAGTAGTTTACGTAATTACTGTTAGTCTTCAGCATCGATTGACATTAACTTACCTTAGTAGTAAAATGCACTGTTCTGTAACTTGCACTTCCGATATAAATAAAACGGATAGTTAAAGAGGAAGAATGTATTTGTAAAAAACAGACAGTTGTTAGTTCAATCTGTGATCCGAATTGTTTTATCTGTTTGCTTACTTTCTGCGTATTGAAATAATGATTTTTGTTTCATCACTTATCCTCCCTTTTCTGCCTGCATCCTTGTTTACTCTCTTCTTCACTTCGAAGTGTATCAGATCGAACTTATGCACTATTAAAATGAGGAACTTTGATTGATATGTCTCCTTACAAAATTTATTATAATCATTCAGGATTTTCGTCTACGTCAACAGCATTTCCGATGTGACAGTGAACGTTCATAAAGAAAATTCGATTCATTCTACCGGTATTCAGTTAAATGATATATCAGTAAAATATTTTGTTTTTCGGACATGGTATATATCTAAATCGTGTTCTAGCATGTCTTGTTATATGCTCATTATTCAATAGTGTGATAAATTGGTCATGGGCATTGTATTGGTTCCTTTTAACTTTCCACGCGTTTTTAGACTGAAAACTAAGGGAAAGTAGTGACAATTATTGTAGGGCGACTCTCCTGATTGCTAAAACTAGGAAAATTAAAGCAAAGTAAGATCAACTTGTGGAAGAACGTAAAAAAGAACATGTGAGATAATACTATGTGATAGAGCTACCCAAAATTTTGTAAACCGTTAATAGTGCCTATATTTACATCGCTTCAACTGTTTTAAACCATACAAAACTTAATCATTGATTTTAGGTCCCTTAAAACTTATCTACTGTTTCCTTTATCTAATACAGTGTTGGTTGTATTAGTACAATTTTTTTAATCAAATCACTTTTCTGGAGATCATAGTAATTTTTTATCTGTATGATAGGTCTTAGAACTGAATCTCAATTCATTTTATGAACCATATTTATATCAAATCGTATTTTCTATTTTTGTAAATTCTTATTCATTAAGCTATTGGCGAGAATATTGAGGAACGTTTAACCGAACAAGCATCTGAAGCCAAGAAAAAACAACTCACTCAATTTCGAGAGGCTCGGTCTGTTCAACGTCGATTGTTAGCTGAATTCCAAGATATTGAAACTGGCGACTTGCTTAAATTTAATCAGTTAAAGGTAATGTTATTCTGTGACCATTGGGTTCTTTATACTAAACACTTCAATTTACTGGTGTTCATTAAAATGTTTTTGTTCGATGATCTCTTAGTTTTTCTTTTGTTTATTGACCACTTATTTTCTGCCTGATAAAAAGACTTTTAAATTTAAATCTAGTAAAATAGGCAAATATTTCAAGAGTTTCTTATATGTGTATCCTTCGCTCTCGTGCATTAATTACTTTTACAGTACTCAGTTATCGTCAGAATCTGTTATTGCAAATTTATTTTCCATTCTGTTCCGCTTCATATTTCAGTTTCGTAAAAAGCAGCTCATATTCGCCAAATCGCCTATCCATGCATGGGGCCTGATAGCTTTGGAACCGATAGCTGCCGAAGAAATGGTGATTGAATATGTTGGTCATGTGGTTCGTAAGGGTGTCGCTGAACTACGTGAACGTCAATATGAAGCCAAAGGAATCGGTGGCTCTTATCTTTTCCGAATTGATGATGAGTTTGTAATTGATGCCACAATGTGCGGCAACAATGCTCGGTTTATCAACCACAGTTGTCAGGTATGCTTGATATAAAGATCAGGTTATTTTACCCACTACTTATTTATGAAATGTCATAACTGATTTATGTAGAGATATTCAATACTGTTTGTTTACGTTTAATGTAACTGTATATTCTATCATGTTAATTGTTAACATAGTAATCGACACTGGCTAAAGTTTTCACATTCGTCTTCTGATGAATCGTATAGTGCATATACATAAACGTACTATCCCAGTGTAGTGATCATCAATAAAAATTTGGAATCAAATACTCAGTACATTCTTTTACTGATGTATCTGTTAGGATAGCGATTAAGTTTTGTTGTTCTGCTTACTCATATACTATTAGAGGAATTGTGCGATATATGAGTGGTATTTTCTTTTGACTGTTCCAATGTTTTGTTTTTGAAATCCCGAACAAGTTATACTGAATTGTTTTATTGTGATCACTATACATGCCCACTCGAACGTTGGGAAGCCTTATTTGGTTAATAAGACATTTTCTGTTGTGTATTTCCACAATAACATGTTTTACTTTTTTATTGTATAGTTTATTTAGTATGTAGGAGCGCTCATTTTCCAATTCGAGTTCAACTTACAATTCAATCTTATAAATATATGTTTTGAAACTTAATAGAAAATTATTTGCCATTTTCTAGATTGGCTATTTAATGACTAGACTTTATATGATGATTCATCCTCTAACACTGATGCTATTTTATTGAATATTGACATAGTCTAATACTCATTTTATGTAGTATGGGATTCACTATTTCTCATAAACTTGTCTTGCTTTCTCTTTATTTTCTATGGTTATTCATCTGTTTAGTGTTTCCAGTTACTTCAACATTGACTAAATAAATAAAATAACATAGGGTTTACCATACGTATTTTGCTTCCGAACGGTACTGTAACATTATTAATAGAAACTAGAAGTTCCCAAAATATATCTTGAAAAGCAGTGTAGTGGTACAGTAAATAAATTATTTGAAATAACGAAGTCATTAAGAATAGATGAATTCGCACGGTTTATGTTGTTTTCCAATCTATCCATACTCTGAATTCATCGGTTTATATTCTTTTACTAGACAGTAGTTAAAAAACTGTATCATGTCCTAGAGTAAAAAATCGATTAATTCATTATAATGTAACCATATGCCCTATAGTTAAACTTTAGTTTTAGTCTGGCAAATACTGTACATAGACGTTTTGTGCTAGTAAAAGTGCATCATATCTGTTTCGAATATCTTGTTTAATACCTGTTTTGTTACCCTTTTGTTGGGGATGTTAGATCCCTAGAACTCACCTGGTAAATGCCTTATTTTTTTAAATTCTATTTTAAAAATTTCAATTTCTTGTTCTCTCACCAGAAGCACCCGTTCTAACCTTCATGTCCTATTTCCCACTTGGGAGAACCTTAAATGATATTGCTTCGTTGTCTCTTTTAGTATGCTATTTTGTACCGCTTCCCAAGGACATTTTTGTGCCGTATATATACGCTTGCGTTGTGCTTATTGTTGTTGTTCGTGCTTCTGGGTGCTTGTGGAATACATTCCCCTCTTTCAAACTTGGACTTCTCTCTCTAGTTAGCGGGGCAGCGGCGCGTCGGAATAGCTCGTTCCGTTCGCAGATTAGGTGAACTCGTAATTTCTCAGCATCTTATGTAAAGTATCTTTCGTTGAGTGATTTCGTCAAATCTGATATAAATGATTTTTTTTTCAGCTTTTAGTGATGAGATAATAATAGTCTAGGTTCACTTCCTCTGGTTGATTCAAAAGGTCATGTTTTCGAATGCTCTGGAAGTCACATTTCTAGCTGCTACTATTGAAAATTCATGTCAACATAAATTAATTGATAGTTTAACGCACAACTCACAAGAACTGGTTAAAAGCTTCCTTGAAGTTGACTGCAATCACCCAACTAACAATATTTTTCACTACCAACAATTTACTACATATTGTCTAGTATATTGGAATTATAAAAGCTAATTTTTCAATTCTTACGACTGTATTAAATATTTTGTTCATTTATGTGACTAATGTTTGTTCTAAATATTAAGATGACACATTTGTATTGAGTAATTTCTTGCCTTATCCTTGTACAACTGAAGCTAAAATTGGTGCTTACATTTAACTTTTTAAATAGTACTTTTAAGGTGAATATTATCATTTACGGATATCACTCATTCAGCAACAAAATGGTCATTTAACTATTTTCTCTGTTATCAAGAATGTCAAATATTGGGTCATTTACAGTGCAGATGTAGTCATCTTTATAAATAACTGAAATCGATAAATCTGAGTTTATAAATATCCAAATCAATTTCATATTCAACCGTTCGGGGGGGGGTGGAACTCGCACCGTGATGGTTACTGATATCGATTGTGTTTCTTTTTTAATATGAAACAAAACAAGCTTTTTGTGTTTTGCTAGTCAATTTCTACTAAATGAAGATAATTTCGTTTTTATTCCTCATCCACATTAAAACACAAACCCTAATAAACTAATATGAATTCACTATATTTCATGGTTTCTCATCAGCTGCACATAACCATATATGATATTAAAGTATGGTATATAATGTGAAGCAACTGACATTGGTGACGGAAAGAATTGAAATAACATAGAATACTGATAATAACTATATATATATATATATATATATATATATATATATATATATATATCAAGGCGGGGTGTGAGCCAGTAATTAAATGAAGTCTGGAAACAGATAAGATAGATCGCATGATAATTATAAGAGTTGTGAAAAATTTACACCTATATTTACCTATTTGTAAGTACGTGCCAAAGCACATACACTAGAAGAACAGAAAGAAGGGTACATGTTCGTATTTCTGAACACATTTCAAAGAATTTGAGATTGAGAGGCGCAACGGCTTTAAATAAGTCCATTAACTCGGCATTTAACTAATACCGAGCATACCATTGCAATTCCTAAATCATTCGAAATTATCAGCAGACACTAAAACGCTTACCGAAGCAATAAAAAAAAAGTAACTTAAACGTGATTTAGGTGTCCAGAAAGTAACAGTTATCAACCTATCACCGTATTGATGGATTCATAGCTTCGACTAATTTCACCTGTTGGTATTTTTTTTGTTCATCTTTTAAAAAATATCATCTTCGTTAGACTAATTCTTATTTTTAGTCCAAAGTAATTATCTCATTCATCGGCTTTTTTTCATTCAGTCAATTTTCTAAACTTATGTGGACTCTTCAAATCTTGTTAAATTATTGCGCAATCCATCTTGCCAACTAACTGTCTTTTATATTATTTTCAAGTAATTTGAATTTTATATAAACTCTTCACAACGTTTATGGTTATTACAAGATCTATCTTGTCTGTTTCTGGACTTTATTTGATTACTGACTCACGCCCCGCACCGCCCTCATGTTTTGTGAATTCCATCTTTAAATGACCGCCCACCTGTTTTTGCACAGATATCTACACGTAGTCATTATTGATAATTCTTGTTATTTTAGTTCTTTTTTTGTCGAGTTCATTTACTTCACATTATCATACCGTAATGTTATACTTTAATATCATATTTGATTGTGAGCAGCTGATAACAAACCATGAAATATAATGAATTCATATTATTTTGCCTGAATGGTTGTTTTGGCTTTATTCAAATTTATAAAAGAAAGTAATTGCACGAAATCTAACAAAAAAAAAGATTGTAATTTTTGACATCCATGAATTTAACTTCCAGTAACTAATTTGTATTATTATTCTGTTTGCGCTTATGTTTTTTATATCAGACTTTTTGAAAAACATATGCCCAGTAAACTACCTATTGATGTACATCCAAATTTGTTGAGTCATTCGAAAAGTTTTAGATATTCTATTTCTACGTACGGACTATGTACCTGGTTTCTTAGGTCGATGGATTGAAAATAATTAAAAATGCTTGCTTGCTATTTCGTTTATCTTTCATACATATACTCACTAGTTTACGACTTGTGACGTTGATTTCTTGCCTCTGTTGACTATTTTCCTGTAAGTTTCAGGTTCGAACTCTATTCCATCTTTAGTTTGAGTATCTAAGTAGTACCATAGTCTCACACAGAACTTGCGGCTCAAAGCTGAGTACATAAACCTGCACTTGACAAATAAATTACATTATTGCTATGAATACCTTTCTTAATAATCTCCATTATCCCGGGCCGAACCCTTAGAACATCTTTTCAAATTCACTTGTAGCTCATCTTACCGAAAATACCTGGTTGAACTCAAATTAAAATCGATCATGTAGAAAATCAGTCTCTCTTCTTGGTCGTCAATACGTCTCTTGTAGAATTTCAACTTTTAAAGGCTAAGTATAGTACGTATGTTTATGGATTCAATATTAAAATATCGATCAACATGAACCTGATGTAGGTGACATCGATATTTCCGTCGTTTTGTTGATAGATTATTGTCGAAGAAATCATTTTCGCTAACTAGAGATCTACATACAGATGGATATCACACGCTATTGGGAACATTCTGACTACTTTAGGAATGAATGAATTAAAGTATTTTTTAATTTGTACAAATTCCTTGTATAGATATTAAATATTTTTCTCATATCATACTTCTTATTCCTTAGCCTAACTGCTATGCCAAGATAATAATGGTTGAAAGTAAGAAAAAAATTGTTATATATTCCAAAAGAGACATTAATGTTATGGAAGAAATTACGTATGACTACAAATTTCCTTATGAAGAAGATAAGATACCATGTCAATGTGGATCATCATCTTGCCGTGGAACGCTTAATTAGGAGACCTACATGTTCAGACATTTTTTGGTGTCAAAATCCGAACAGATGTATATAGATTTGTAAGTAATTATTGCTTTCTTCTCGAAATCTTTGTGTTACATGAGGATTAGTTATCATTTCCTTACATGTTTATTTCTGTACATACATTCTTTTGTTATTTTCTTATGGTGTATGAATCTTGATTGAACTAATTTTTGAAAATACCTTTCATTCTTAATTCCAACTAAATATTTGTACCAGATTTGTTTACGAAAGATCATTTTTATCCTCGACACTTCAGACTACTCTGTGTAACTTTGTTCTCTTTAATTATTTCCTGTAAGCTTGTGCTTGTCTCTGGTACTGTGTAGAATACGTCCTTTTCGAATACGATGGGTGGGGGATAGTTTTAAAGAAGTCTTTTGCGATTTCAAAAAGTAAATAATTACTTACATCTACCAACCCTCGTGGAGAAGCATAGGCTGTTCACCAGCATTCTCCATCGACCTCTGTGCTGGACAGTCCTTCCCAACTGTAATTTCTCCTTTACATATCTGCTTCCAATTCCCGACACAGTGTGCCCTTTGGCCTTCATCTTTTCTGTTTCTCTTCAGGATTCCAAGTTAGCGCTTGCCTCGTGGTGCAGTTTGGTGATTTCCGTAACATATGTCCTATCCACTTCCAGCATCTTTTCCCAATTTCCTCTTCAACTGGAAGCTGGTTTTTCCTCTCCCACAGTAGGCTGTTGCTTATGGTATCTGGTCAACGGGCATTAAGTATCTTGTGTAGATAATTGTTTGCAAATACCTGTACTTTTTTGATGATGTTTGAAGTAATTCTCGAACTTTCAGCTCAGTACAGTAGGACTGTCTCGATGTTCGTATTGAAGATTGTGACTTGATATTGGTTGATAGTTGTTTTGAGGTCCATATGTTCTCGAACTGTATGAATCTTGTCTTTGTTTTACCAATCCTCGCCTTTACGTCTGCATCAGATTCTTTATGTTCATCGATGATGCTGAAACAGATACGTGAAATTGTCCATTTCTTCCAGAGTTTCTCCATGAAGTGTGATTGGGTCAGTGTTCTCCGTGTTGTATTTGAGGATGTTGCTTTTTCCCACGTATATGTTGAGGCCTATTAATGCAGAGGCTACTGCTACATTGGTTGTCTTCATCTGCATTCGTCGGTGTGTATGGAATAGAAGAGCTAGGTGATCTGCAAAGTCGGAATCTTTTAGTTGCATGCAAGCTGTCGATTGTATTCCATGCTTCCCGTCACATGTGGTCTTCATAATCCAGTCAACCACCAGAAGGAAGAGAAAGGGGAGAGTAAGCAGCCTTGTCTGACTCTGGTCCTTACTTGGAATGCATTTGTCAGCTGTCCTTCATGCACGACTTTGCAGTGAGATGTTGACTATTTTCTCAACTACCCACTCCATAGTGTTGAAGAAGTTTCCATAATATTTTCCTATCCACATTGTCAAATGCTTTTTTATAATGAAGTTGATGTATGGTGACGAGTTCCATTCAATTTTCAGCCAGTAAGCTACAACGTAGGACCAGATACGTTTATGTGCCCGTCCAAGATGCCACACCTAATTAGCATAACAAGATGAACACCACATTTATGGAATTAGTTATGTCAATAGTATTAATATATAAAAGAGAAATCGCATATAATGATAGGGTTATAATTTCTCTTATTATGACCCAGCTATTCCTGTTATTTAGTATTCTTTGACACCAACTCACTCGACAAGTCCCCAAATCAGAACACAGTTGAACAGGGACGAAATTATATTTCAAATAATGAGGGTAAATGGAAGTAGGAAAGGCAATAAAGAAACGTTAGTATATTTATGGTTTGCATGTGAGAAGTTTCTAGAGTCTTCTCCAAGTACCGACTAGCACTGATTGGATAAGTAATTGCCAATAGGCGAGCACCAACACGATCTTTCACGGGACGTACTTTAATTCAATCTATTTCTCGCTAAAAGACATAACACAGGAATAAAGAATTAGTTCGTAAAAATATATATCTAGAGTGGTTCCAAGCTCATGGTTTAAGACAAAGTTTATACACTTACACGACTGTGGTCGATTCAGTCTCCTACCACTGGTCACGATAGTCGCGCACATCCTAAACAAGTAGTTTGCATCTACCAACATGGCTAAGACTAGAAATTAGTGACTTCAAGCACATGCCACGTTTTGTTTTGTGATCAAATGCTAGTAACTTACGAGTATCTTCGGCCCTTAATGGTCACGTTCCGCAGCCGTAAATGAGAACAGGACAAACTGTCACGTTGTATACTCGTCCCTTAATTGATAGACGGATATTTCACTTTCTCCATAGGTGACGTAGGTTGGCAAAAGCCAAACGAGCTCTTAATCCATGCAGAAATTTTGTCGGACATCAACCCAATTGGGCTGACCAGACTTCCAAGTTATGTGAAGTTGTCGGCGCGTTCGAGTACTTTGCTCTGTATCCTTGGTTCAGGTGTTGACGCAGACCAGTCCTGAAGCACCAACTTGCATTTAGAGGGGAGAGAAACGCCTCCCCAAAGTTCTGGTATTGTTGTACAGTGCTACCAAAAGACTGCATTTTATCAACGTCTTCACCAAACACCTGAGTATTCTCAGTCGATAAATGGACTTCCTGGTAGGAGATCAATTCCTAAAACATGGGGCGACAGGAACGTTATTTCCAGTAGTAGGCATGTAGTGGCATCGGGCCCTAAACGCACAATCTTCAAAGCTGAACACGAGACAGCTGGGAGAATGGATATTTACTATCTGATGCGAGGAAAATCCGAACGATGGATAAGGCGGGAACAAGGGATTGAAATAATTCAAATTGGTCGAATGGCATGGCTTGGCCTTGCAGGCGTGGTCCCTGTTGGGTGTTATGTTATATCCCTTATTCATATTAAATCTACTGTTCTATCTCTAGCCTATGCTTGCTCTCCATCATGTATTGGTTACTGTTACGATCCGAATGAGTCAGGGTAGATAATGATGTGACATCCACGTAATATCTTACATATTAAGCAGTTACATCATGACAAATATACAATTTTAGGATTAGGTCTGTTATTAGAGCAGTACTTATATCATAGTGTACCATAATTATGCAGGCATATGATGAAGATAAACAAAAATGGAGAAAGTGGATAGCCTTGACAGACACCACTTGAGGTTACAAAAGCAGATGGCAGTTCGCCGTAAGCTATGACTCAACTTGTAATGTTCAAGTAAAGAACCTTCACAAGGTTTATGTGTTTTGAGGTATACCTTTCAATGACAGACATTGCCACAGAATCTCGCGGTCTACCGAGTCAAACGCTGCTTTTAAGCCAAGAAAGACCACCATTGTCGGACGCCGATAAGTATGCCTGTGTTCTAGAACCTAACGAATGGTGAATATATGGTCGATGCAGCCACGACCAGGTCTGAAGCCATCCTGATTTTCTCGTGTTTGCAGTTCACGAGTCTTAGTTAGGTGTCCGATAATTATCGAGGCTGGTATTTTAGATACTATATTAGTTAAACTAATCCCTCTATGGTTGTCACAGGATGATTTTGACCCTCTCCTATATATTGGGGTGATAAATGATTGTGACCAGTTAGATGGGATAACGTCCAACTCCCAGATCTTAGCTAAAATACTAGTCAACCTAATAGCTAGAATTGGACCACCATCCTTAAAGACCTCTGAAGCCAATCCATCCGGACCAGCTGCCCTTCCTCGTTTCAGATTAACTATAGCCTTTTGAACTTCAGCTAGAGTTGGTGGGCCTACTTCAATGTTCCATTCACGCTGTTTGGGAACGGAGGGTAGTTGTAGAGTAGCTGAAGGCCAGCTGAACTGTTCTCTGAAATGTTCCGCTCATCATTCTAAACGTCTGGACTGGGAGCAGATGAGAGTGTCGACTTTTTCCGAAATAATCTGACTTACATTTGACTTATTAATTCCAGTTTCTTTTATTAGTCTGTAAAGCTGTCTTGTGTTCCCTATAGTCGCTGCCTTTTCCATCTCTTTTGCTTTCGTTGCACACCACTACTCACAGTCGTCCCTTAGACCTTTGCTTAACCTAGATCTGATTTGTTTGCGCTCTTCATCGTGTTCAAAACCTGATGGAATGAGTTTACGAGAATCCATCAGTGATATAGACCTTGAATAAATCCATTGGTTCTTTGTAACCCTGTGATTTAAATCACTATTAGATGTCACTGCTGTCTCCACAGCTGTTTGCATATGTTTCCAAGCAACATCTGGGTCAGCCTCGTTTTCAGAACTACCTAAGTGTGACCTCAGTTGTTCCTGGAACCTAATTTCGGTTTTCTCATTACTCAATTCAATTCTAATGGGTCTTTTTACTGTGGCATTTCTGCGTCCGGTGAGGCACAAGCAGGTGCGTGCCCGTATTAGGGCATTGCTAGAGTCCAAGCAGGTATTCCAGAATGAGCGACAATCTTCTACCGACCCTCTCCAACAATGACTGATGACAATATGGTCTATTTGAGTCCATCGTTGGTTTGGTGTAGGGGGTCGCCATGTTAGACGATGTCTCTCCGTATGCTTAATATTTGTGTTTGCTAAAAATAAACGATTCTCTGAGCATAGTTGCAGCAGACGATCACCATTATCTGTTCGTTGTGCCAGAATACTAAAATACCCACCTAAATGCCTTTCTGTATGGTTTAAACTACCTATCTGGGCATTAAAGTCACCTGCTACGAGTACTCTGTCTGAGCGTTTAGCTTTCTGAAGAAGTTCGGACAGCTTTCTGTAAAATTCATCTTTCACTTCATCCGAGCTGCAGTCAGTGGGAGCGTAGGCAGAAACGACGGAAAGGCATCGACGTGTGCCCCTATGCTTCCGAGTTCTTACGGAGCCGTTCAGCCGAACAGCACATAGGGGACTGTTAACGGTGATCCATTATAATAGTGCTTGTTCCACCTTCGTACATAGTGCTATGCCTACCAGTCCACTAGAACTAGCCATCGGGTCACCAGG